TGAGGAGAGACTAGGGCACCTGGACCTCTTCAGCCTCCGCAAGAGAAGGTTGAGAGGCGACCTTGTGGCTGCCTATAAATTCATCATGGGGGCGTAGAAGGGAATTGGTGAGGCTCTACTCACCAAGGCGCCCCTGGGGGTCACAAGAAATAATGGCCATAAGCTAGCAGAGAGCAGATTTATACTGGACAATAGGAGGAACTTCTTCACAGTTAGAGTCGCCACGGTCTGGAATGGGCTCCCAAGGGAGGTGGTGCTCTCCCCTACCCTGGCGGTCTTCAAGAGGAGGTTGGATGGGCATCTGGCTGGGGTCATCTGAACCCAGCACTTTCCTGTCTATGCAGGGGGTCGGACTCAGTGATCTATTGAGGTCCCTTCCAACCCTAACTTCTATGAATCTATGAGCTATTACAGATAAACCTTTGCCTTATGCAGTTTTAGGTATAATGCAAAATTAAATAAATAAATAAATAAAATGGAAAAAAAAATTATCCACAATCTTCGTAACTGAATTAGATGATTAGGAAGTTGAATATAAAAATTTTGCATGGAAGTTTGCTAGCATAAACAAAGAAGTGCACAGTACTATGAGATGCCATATACTGTATATGAAGCCAGTAATGGGGGGAAATTAAATTCCCACATTCCAACTTAATGTTGGCATTTCCTAAATCAGGGGCGGGCAATTATTTTGGGCAGAGGGCTGCTTGATGAGTTTTGGCGAGCTGTTGAGAGCCGCACAGGTAGCCCTGCCCCTTGAGTTGCTCCACCCCCGGTCGCCATCTTGGGATGGGAAGTTCTGCCCCCTGACCTGTGTCACCAGAAGTCCCTCCCCTTGTACAACGTACCAGGTAGCAAGGGGTTATGACTGCTATAACATCCTGCCCCAGCAGTGGGGTTCCAGGGGCATCAGCCTCCCCCAGAACTTTCCCCCTACCTGTGCCAGCTGGTCCCAAAAGGAGGCGGCTCCGCCACTGCTTCTGCTGACCAGTGCCGACCCAGTCGGGCTCACCCCATCCCCAGCAGCACGTGGGAAGCCAGCTTCAGCTTCATGCTGCTCCAGATGGGACGTACCCAGCTGGATCTGCACCAACCAGGAAAGCCGGCATGCAGCTGAAGTCGGCTCCTCACATGCTGCTAGAGACAGGAGGAGCCCGGCTAGGTCTGCACCAGCCAGCAGAAGTGGCGGCAGAGCCGTGTGCCACTCAGAATGGGACGAGCCCAGCCGGAGCAGCAGGGGCTCAGCTGCATTTTCCCCTTGCCTGCACCAGTCAGTCCTGAGTGGCACGCGGCTCCACTGCTGCTTCTGCTGGCTGGTGCAGACCCGGCCGGGCTCCTCCCATCAGCACGTAAAGAGCTGGCCGGTGCAGACCCACAGACCCAGCCAGGCTCCTTCTGTCCCCAGCAGCATGCGGCTGAAGCCGGCTTCCCACGTGCTGCTGGGGACAGGGCATACCCCGCGCAGCCTGAGCAGCACCGCATGGCACGGGGAAAGCCTGCCCAGCAGCTGCTTGCCTGGGCCTACCTGCAGGGCAGGACCCTTTCCAGTCCAGATACTGTTTCCCCTCACCAGTGTCACAGGCTCTGGCCCAGCCCCCCCCCTCTCAAACTGCAAATGTGGCCTGAGCCAGGGCGGGGAGAGGCCAGCTGGGGCAGGCTGAGGTCAGGGTTGGTTGCCTCGCAACCAAAACCCAAAGAAACAGCCTAAGATGCTGCAGCCGGTGGCTAGTGCCGCTGGAGGCTTTTAGAGAGGCAGCCGCCATTATGTGGGTTTTGAAGGGGTTCTGCGGGTTGGGGGGAAGTGCTTGGCGGGCCGCATCTGGCCTGCAGGCCGTATTTTGCCCATCCATGTCCTAAATGAATGCTCCATGCAACTTTAAAATTTATTTTCAAAAGAATTGGAATGTGCGTGGCATTGACTTAAATGAAAAAGTTGTGTGGTCATCAAAACATAATTAATATTTAAACCATTAGAAATATACTCAGCATGAGCTTGACATATATGTAACATCATCGTCTTTTTTAATGCTATGGACATTTTCATCTACTAACAATTCCATTCTGTTATTTTCATCAGGTTGACAAATGGATTTAACAAATGTATTGAAATTTTAATCTTGGGAATTATACAGAAAAATTAATAAAGGTCAGGGTTTTCAGTATAGAGCAAGGGTTGAACCACAGGCTAGATCAGGCCCCAGTATCGTGTCATCCGGCACACATGATGTGGCCCTGCACACTAGATCCAGTGTGCAAGGCAGTGTGGGGCCTGATCCCAGTGTGCAGGGTGGGGAAGAGGTGGTGCAGGGCCCCCAAAGCCTGATCCCCAAATATGGGACTCGGTGGAGGTAGTGTGAAACCCAGTGGAGCCCAATACCTGCATATGGGACCAGGCAGAGGCACTGGGACTTCCAGGACCCAGTCCAGCCCATGGACTAGCTCCATACCTGTCATCTGGCCTTCAGGGTCAAAAGGTTGAGTAACCCTGGTATAGAGTCTTCCAGGCTCTACCTCAGTATGTTTTCACCATGTGGGGTTAGAACTGAAACACAGTGTTCAGTGAACAGACTGACTACATAACAATTTCATCTTACTACTGTTAACTTCCTGATCTAGTTTAAGTTCATAGTATCCACTTTGCACATTTCATCCTTAGTAGCATGTATAAGGTTCCTATTTACAAAGAAACATTTCCTACTTACACTCAAGAAAGCTGCTTTTATCTAGGTCTGTTCTATGCACAGTATTATGAGATATGATGAGTGAGAAATGACTTTGGTGTATATAAAAAAAAAAAAAAAAAAA